GTTCGCCTTTATCTGCTCGAGTGTCCAATGACGCGTATTTCCCAAACCCTCAATACCCGCCCTCGTCGTCTTCGATCGAACCCCTTTTGAGGGTATGCTTTTCTTCCCTGCAGGCCGGGCCCTCGCAAGCGGCGGGGCGGCCGCGGACCGTCGGCCTGGCCAGCGGCAGCGCTGATCGACGGGGCGGCCGCGGACCGTCGACCCGACCCCCAGAGGGACGGACAGGGGACCGACCACGACGACGACGACGACGGCGACGACGACGGCGACGGCGACGACGACGACGACGATCGAAAGCGAGAGCCAGAGAGAACGACAGCAGGGCCACGAAAGACACGAAGTAGGCCACGAAGGGCGACAGCGGGGACACGAAGGGAATGCGTATGGGGCCACGAAGAGCGCGAACGAGCGGGGGCCACGAAAGGCAGATAATGCGGGGCCACAGAAGGCAACGATGGGCCCACTGAAGGTAGCAATTGGGCCACGTAGGACACTGATGGGGCCACGCACGGCGACAGCGGGGCCACGAAGGGCATGCACATGGGGCAACCACGGGCGCGAACGAGCGGGGGCCACGCAGGGCATACATATATGGGGCCACGAAGGGCAGCGAGGGGGCCACGAAGGGCCGCAACGGGGCCACGAAGGGCAGCGAGGGGGCCACGAAGGGTTGCAACGGGGCCACGAAGGGTTGCGACGGGGCCACGGAGTGCCGCAACCGCGACAGCGGGGCCACGAAGGGCATGCACATGGGGCCAAAACCGGCGCGAACGAACGGGGGCCACGAAGGGCATACGTATATTGGGCCGCGGAGGGCAAGAACGGGGCCACGAAGGGCAGCGAGGGGGCCACGAAGGGCCGCAACGGGGCCACGAAGGGCAGCGAGGGGGCAACGAACGGTTGCAACGGGGCCGCGAAACAAAGCGAGGGGGCCACGAAAGGCTGCAGCGGGGCCACGAAAGGCAGCGAGGAGGCCACCAAGGGCTGCAACGGGGCCACGAAGGGCAGCGAGGGGGCCACGAAGGGCTGCAGCGGGGCCACGAAGAAGCGATGGGGCCACGAAGGGCTGCAACGGGGCCACGAAGGGCAGCGATATCGTAGGTATTTGTGAGGGAATCTTAAGCGTGAGCGCCACTCCTGGGTGCCTCGGTGTCGGGAGCGCGGCGCTGGAGTAAATTGCCAGAAAATCAAACGCAAGGGCGCTATTCTATGGTAGATCGCAAGCAAGTCTCCAGCGAAAGCGCGACTCCAGAGCGCCGGGAAAGCGACTCCTGCATAAATTGTAAGGAAGTGTCCTAAGCGAGAGCGCGATTCCTGAAAGAATGCGAGGAAGTCTCGGGCGGGAGCGGGGGTCCTGGCTAAATCGTTTCGAGGTCTCAGGCGGGGGCCGTTGTTGTTGTAGTCCGGGGGGGCAGGGGGCCAGTTTGAGCAGGAAGATTTTGTTTGACAAAAAACAAGGTGCGAACTCCGGGGGGGGGCACTTCAATTGAAAAAATCGATGTGCACCGGCGGGGGGATCAACAATAGTAACTCTTCAAGAGTGAGAGTTCAACAACAACAACAACAACAATTACTAGCACGTGGGGACACACCGTTCTCACCAGTGCCAGGGTTTTCATAGGAGGCGGGCAATACCCCCACTTTGTGGGGGGGCCGGTTCAAGCTCTACCAAATTTCCAAACGACTCTTCGCCACCACCCACACCCAGCTTCCCGCCCTATGACGTTCGGACACTTCACTTCGTGGCATGCGGACGACCGTGGCTACTATTCAGGGCCCCGCGGCCGACGACGACGGCGTGCGCGCGCGAAGAAAAAACGAATGTGTCCCGCATGGTATTATTTGACAGGGATGATGGCCCTGGCAGGTGCGCAACCGTTGTTGCAGAAGTTCGAAAAAGTTGCTCGCAAAAGCCCGTTTGACAGAAATGATTAAAAAGTGTTGGGTTTCCTACGAATCCGCAAGAGCGCGCGGGATGAAATTGTGACATTTTTTTTGAGAAACCATTGTTTTTTTATGTTTTTATGTTAAATTCGCTACGAAAACTAAGGTGTTGAAAGGATTTCGTCTTGCGCGCGCGAATGTCCACTTTACTGTATTTTTGCAAGGGTTTCTTGAAGCTTGGTTATGTTAGAACAAGAACTGTCCACTTTAGCTTATTTTTTGCCAGGGAAAACCGATCGTAACAACACAACCGGATCCGGACCAACCCGTTTTGCCTGAGACTTCCCCACGAAAATGATGAAAATGAGGCTGCGGCCTAGGCGCGGCGGGGGGGTCGTGCACCAGGGGCCCCAACAATAATTATTCTTTAGAAGTAATAATGTTCAACAACAACAACAACAGCAGCAGCAGCAGCAACAACAACAACGCAGCAAGCATAATCTGCACCACGGGTTCTCACTTCAGCCACGCACCCAGGGACAATGAATGACCGTTCGGCCCCCTCATTCTGATTAGGGGGCGAAACATGACATTAGCATAACAATTCGGAGGTCCGCGCGGATTTCTCGGTTCCGCGCTGGCGCCCTCTGGCGGCGCCTCTGGCGCCGCCCTTGGCGCATTCCGCGCGCCATGGAGGGGGGTCCAGCGCCGATCCGGGAAGTCCGCGCGGACCTCCGAATTTGCATGTTTGTGTCATTCTTCGCTTCCTTATAGCATGTTCGCAGCCACCCTTGGAGAGGCACTCCCCAGTGGGAAACAGTACATGCGGTTTCTCCTAAACGATATTTGCGCTGACGGGATGTTGCTTGTTTCGAGCAAAAGTAGATTTGGATGTAGCAAGTTCTGGTTGCCGCCCTAGCGCATCATGGCTGGTGGTCGATGATGCTGCAGTCGTCAATGCCCTGTTGTTGTCCTGTCTTCTGTTTGCCGCGCTGGGGCCACTTGTGCCCCATGGCTGTTTCGCTATGATGCCCCAGTCGTCGGGGCCCATGGTTGTCACGATTTCTGGTTGCCGCCTTGGCGAATCATAGCTGACGCGCTATCGTTTCCCAGACAGTGCTTGCACTAAGGGGCTCTGCCTTGTTGCGAGGAGGACTGGGATTGTTCGGCGCGGCTTCTGGTTGCCGCGCCAAAGCTCGCTGGTTGGTGCCTCTGCTTTCTGGCCCGTGGTCGTCCGCGGCTGAAGGTGACGCAGGCGGCGGCGCGGGTGCAACACCTTGGAACCAGCCGCAGGAGACGCCATCAGGGCCGTGGGCATGTTTCGCCACCGAGGCGCGCGGCTTCGAGAACAACTTCGCCACGCGGACGACCTGCTTCAAGTGTTGGCGCGCCAAGGACGGGAGGCGGCATCAGAGCAGGACACCGTCGTCCGGCCCGCGTCGTCGTAGCGCTCGTCCTGTACGTGACGGGGCTGGCCTCCCAGAGGTCGTCCGCTGCCGGAGGGCGGTGCAATCCCTTCGTCACCTCCACTACGACGACTCCCACGAACTCATGCGCATGGCCGTGGAGGAGCTCAGCCGGGCCGAGCAACGGGAGCGAGAGGCCATGGAGCTTGAGGACATCCTGCGCAGCGCGTCCGACAGGCCCGCATCAAAAAAGGTGGGGCAAGAAAAGTTGGCGCAGCATATCGGCAATCTCGAACAGCAGTTGGCAGAAATTAAAACCAAGCACTAGACCATTGGCAAGGAGATCTCGATGCTGAACGCGGAGGTGGCGAGAGCAAAGGCCGCCATGGCCAGAGCATCGCCCGCAGACCAAATCCAT